TCTTCTTTTCAAAAAAATCCAAACCCTATAGCTTTCCATATCCTTGTTATCCCAACATTGTTCTTTTATCTTTTCGGATGTTGAACTTGTCTTAATTCACGCAAAAGAAAAAAGAAGAAAGAAAAAAAAAAAGGAGCTCCATAATTGAATCGGTTCAAGTTCAAAAGAATCGGTCAAAGATTCATGACGACAACATCAATATCGCATGAAAATGAATCTTTGTACAAATCAAGCAGGGATGCTTTACACCTTTTCTCCATGCGTGCGGTCTCTAAATAATCTTCAAGATTAATGCTTTCGCTTTTCTTTTGAAAGCTAAGACAACTGCCGATTACTTTCGATGATCAACTTGAACAAATTGTAAAAGAAATTGCATGAAGATTGGTATTGATTAGTTGATGGTCGATGGTAGTTTGACACAAATGCATTAGTGATGTAATTCTTTTTCTTTCTTTTAGATGGATGGAGTGTCTTTTGATTAAATTATCTTATAAAAGAAGTACTCTTTTGAGAGCTTAGACCGAAATAGTGATTTCAATAAGTGATGTCCCTTTTCAAAAAGGGTTAATCTATCCTAATTAGATAATGATTATTATTTTTTATCTTAAAAATGATAAAATTAATTTTTATTTTAATTATAAATGTCATGTATTAAGTTTTGATTGGTTAATTTTAAATTAAAAATTTAATAGTATTTTTTTAATATAAAATTTTACTCTTTTCAAGAAAAAAAATTATAATTATTGCTTCATTATAAACCCTCTAGTTGAGTGCTAGGCTAGCTTTCATTTTTTGTCTGATTTGGAGCTGAAACTTTGCTTTGCTCGTACAAAGACAATAATTGTTTGCAAATCGGAGATTGTGGTGGGGATCGGATAAGCTAGCACTAATTGAGAACTGGCCTGATTTCAGAAAAATGAATGGCATTTGTCCTTAAATATTCACAATATTAAAATTATGTCATTAATTGAGAATTATTGTGAAATTTCGTCCTTTTTGATCCGCTTTATTTTCCTTCAAAATGGGTTACATTAATTAGTGTTGTTGAGGGTCTAAACGCTTATTACATATTAGTTAATGGACAGAATCTTTTTTTATTTACACTCCAAATAAAATTAATTATTAAAAGATGAAAATTTGTTGTAGATATTTTGCTCCGTGAGTGATGAAGTCCCTTTCTTAAACTTTTTTGGAACGTGAAACGATTCACATGCCAATCACCAACGTGGCAAGCAATGAAACATGCTTTATTGCCTTTTTCTCAAATTTGGTTTTCAAGAGGTTAAAAGGATTTTTTTGG